CGTAGTACATCTTGTCCTGTCGTCGTCCATCCCTCAGCGTTTTCTCATCACTCTTCCAGTGTACAACCTCTCGATGGAGTATTCGTCTGATGATATCGCAGCAGCGAGGAGCTTGCAGCTCGCTGCGGTGAGTCCTCTTGTCGATGTGATGACGAATAATACTTGACATATCATGTTCCATCAGTACATATATGGTGCGTCGCAGTACTGTCAGAACCCCTTATTCTTTGCCCTAACACAGTTCAGCGTCGATGGCTACATTTTGGGTAGGCTTATCCTGATATTACGTCCGCCGTTAATCTCGTTTTTCCAGGTCTATGATTATACATGTTCACTTCATGAAGAGGTAACACACTCATTCCGTGATACACCTCGATCTTGATATTCATATCCTGTGCAAAGTGGACATTTTTACTTCGATCGCACTGGAGCAAGGTAAAAGGCTTGTATGTTGTTACGCGATACCTCCCCTTTATCATTCTCACCACGAGTCTATATCGTATGTCCCACTCCAGTACACATCGCCTGATGAATTAACACCGTTCTTCAGTGGGCTTTACGCCGGATGGGAACCAAGGTGTATGTGATGCGGTGGAGAGTTCATAAGAACAATTGACTCACTGCATGAATTTGCCAGAAATGCCGAGTGTTTTACAAATATTAACACAGGTATGTGCATGGTACATTCATTGTATGCATGTCCTTGCTGAGGGTTACTACTTTCCTCTCACAGGCTTTTGTATAGTATCAGTCATTTGCTCCGAATGTATCTCTTGTTCCTCCGTAAGATATGTGCATTTCTGATCTGATTCATCTAGGCTTTTTCATCATCAGAACATATGCGCTTTGGAACAAGAATAAAATCTTACTAGCAGCCGTGCTGTCTGCCTTTTGCGTGAGTTCTCAATCCACTCACCATAACCAAGCTGGTGGTAGATGGATCAGCCAGATTTTTCTCGCAGCATCCTTCAGCATTAGTTTCGCCACTAGTGTCCCCGCAACATGTATTCGCTCTCACCTTCCCGCTGGTGTTCCATCACCACTGAAATATTATGTTCATTTTCACAGATGCAACTAGCGCGGTCCTGGGCATCACAGGGTGCTACCACAGCTCGACTAGTTTTCGGCTCTTCATACCATTTCTCCTCCTTGCCTGGTTCGAACTGGGTGGGTATTCAGGAGCATATATATGTACAAGCACACGCTGACAGATGTTCTCCCCAGGACTCATGATACTCACACTCATACGCGCCATACAGACCTGGCGGATAAGCCCAACCCGTCTGTACGTTGTCCTGGTGAAACATAACATATTCTATTATACATGTGGTTTTTGTGAGTCAATACTCGCACGCACCGTTTTTCCGTGCTCATTCATGATCAATTCTCTTTCCTACAGTGTTCTCGGTAACGAACATATTCGCATCGATGCACCTCCATGTGCGTATATTTCCTGAACACCTTTTACGATAGAGCTGTTGATGTTCCGCGCACCTAGTATTCCTACCACGCCTTGTTGTATGAGTATGCAGTTCCACATCCTGTTGCGTATTCCTACTAACAATACCCAAACTTACACCCACGTACAGTTTCCAATTCATGATCCTCGCAATCCTCGCGACGCGCATGCACCTCCATCTCTGGGTGGTGAACCGACATGCACACAGCTCTGGCGCCCCTGTGTGTATCCCAATGTCTGACATGTCATCTCTAAATTTCACAGCGTGATGTCTCATCTTGTGGCTTATTCGGTGTCGTTCGTGGAGCGAGGCTTGCGCTGTACGAGATGACTGGTGGGGGTTGATTTGGTAGAGTTCGCTACGTGCTTAACTTATAGAACGAGTCTCTTGTGGGGTGGAAGGAGCATTTGGATGGCATTGGTCTATTTAATTCCCATGGTTTCTACTATAAGCGGCGGCGGATTCAGGATTCAGGATTTGAGTGTGCTAAGGCCGGATGCACAGCCCGACAGCAATGAGCACTATGTTACAGGTTCATTAAGATACAGCGAGGTTCACGAATTAACGAAACGTCCCTGAAATGACAGGACGTCATCTGGAATCACCTACGCTGCCGATGTATTTATCTCACTCGAGTAGATAAGCTATTCGCACATTGTGACTTGTCAATGAAAGACTACCTGTAGGGTGGGGGGTCAGGGCTTCCTGCCTTAATGGGGACTTGAAACACTATTTGACCCACCCTATCGCTTATGACATTATAGAAAGCCCAGCAAATGATTATGGCATAGTGAGTAGTGTCTGATGGAACTGTTCACGAACGATATCTGAAGTGCAGGAAATGTAGTGCGGTGACAGGCTGCATATTGCAGAACGCACGATGTGCTAGTGAAAAATGTAAGAATTCACAGATTTGAAGTATGCAGAAGTAGTAGACGGGCCTTACTAGTAGGCTAGTTGGGGGTGATCACTTTTGCAGGGACGATAACGTTGGCGCATGCGCCAGCGGCTGTCTTGGGAGTTGAGTATGAAGCCACATTTGACTTCCGCGACCTCCAAATACTGGGAAGAAATTACCGTGATTGATATATCATTGTGGGGGGAGAAGGAACAAAAGGTGTATTTGACTTGTCGTAGGAGCATACAAATCTTAGTTCGATTGAGGTATTTAGGTTTACTTTACTGATAGCTTGCCGAGGCGCTTTTGCCAGACAAATGTGTCACGTCACAAGTTATTAGTCACGAACGTTCGAACTTCGAACAGTGAACATGGCTGAATGACTTTTGTAACATCGATCATTCAGTGAATGTTTTTAACCTCCGAGTCGTCTATGAAAGGAAGGGTGAACTCACGACTCCAATTGTCTGTTTACTGACTTCGGGCAGTACAACGCTCCAGAATTCGCAGATAATTGCAGTTCTAATAGATTAGAAGCCACACAACATGAGCTCGTGTACGAAACACGTTCGATTACCTGTCATTGTGTCGAACGGAGTGGAAATCGGCTGATTGCTGTTGGCCCATGCGAGCTAGTGTGTAAGTACTGTCTGTACTGTGACATCTCGCTTATAACTTGACAGCTCAGCGCTCAGCGTCAGAGTCATGGCTCCCTTCACACCCTCCCAAAAAAACCAACGAGGGCCAAATAAGTATTAATACTGGAGAGTCGATCTCACGGATTAGAGCTTTGAAAGCCCCTCCCTGGAACGTCCCTCCAACGTGGCTGCTTCAGAAGCAGGGACAAGTACAATGAGCACACCCAAGCCCAATCAAACCTAGGTTGTATTGCCAGAGTTACCTAATTGCATAGCATATGCGTCATTATAAGAGTTCAGAAGGAGGTAAATCCGTTAGTTATTACTTCTTGAACGACCAGAAATGCAGACGGAATATTCGGCTGACGATATCGAGGCAGCGACGAGTTTGCAGTTCTTCGCGGTGCGTTTCTTTCTTGTTAATACGAGGGCGAGCAATATTAAGCAATCCATTTGCGCATCAGTACTTTTACAGTGCGTACTGCCTGAACACTATCTTTATCGTCCTACTAATGCAGCTTAGTTTCGATAACTACATTCTGGGTGGGCTTATCCTGATGAATTCTCTTCCGCTGTTAAACTCCCTCATCCAGACTTACGATTATGTTTGTTCGATTCACGAAGAGGTAATGTACTTGTTCCGTGATAAACCTCGGTTTTGATGTTCATACAAGTCTGTTCGAAGTGGAGATTCCTGCTTGTCTCGCACTGGAACACGATGAAAGGCCTTTATATCGTTACGCGATATCTCCCCTTTCTCCTCCTCGCCACAAATCTATATTGTGCGTTCAGCTCCAGCGCACCTCGTCCGAGATAGATTAACACATTGTCATGTAGTGAGTTTTATCCCAAATGAAACCCCAGGTGTACGTGGACATGCGGTGGGGACTTAATGAGACGAATATCACTTACTGCATGACTTCGCCAGAAATGCCGGGTATTGGATAATATTTGCTTAGGTGTGTGCATGGTACATCGATCTATGCACAACCACGATGAAGACAACCCACTTTCTCTCACAGGTTTCGGCATACTATCAGTCATTTGCTCCGAGGGTATTTCCTTCCTCCCTAAGATGTATGTTCCTGATCTAATTTATCCAGGATATTTCGCCCTCAGAACATGTGCGCTCTGGAACAACAATAGAATCTTACTCGCAGCAGTGCTTTCCACCTATCTCGTGAGTTCTCAATCCACTCATCACACCAAAGCTAGTGGTAGATGCATCAGCTAGACTTTTGCCGGAGCATCCGTCAGCATTGCCTTCACCACCACTGCTCCCGCAGCATGTACGCGCTCTCACCTCCACCATGGCGTTCCACTATCATTCAACAATTGTGTTCGTTTTCACAGATGCGACTAGCGCGATCCCGGGCATCACAGGGTGCTACCAGAGTTCGACCAGTTTCCGACTCTTCATACCGTTTATTCTACTTTCCGTATTCGAATTGGGTAGGTGACCAGGAGCATACATGTGTACAAGAACACGCTGACAGATACCCCCCCAGGACTCATGACCCTCACGCTCATATGCGCTATACAGAACTGGCGGACAAACCAAGGCCCTCTGTACGTTGTCCTGGTGAAACATAACATATTTTATTATACATGTGGTTTTTGTGAGTTAATAGTCGCACGCGCAGTTTTTCCGTACTCATCCATGATCATTCTTTTTCCTGCAGTGTTCTCAGTAGCGAACATATTCACATCACTGCTCCTCCATGTGCGTATGTCTCCCGAATACATTTTACGATGGAGCTGATGTTTTGCGCATCTAGTACTCCTACCATGCTATATTGGATGAGTATGTACCTCCACAACCTTCTGTGCAATTCCACTAACGATGCACACCCACGTACAGTTTCCAGTTCGTGATCCTCGCGACTCTCGCCACGCGCATGCACCGCCGTCTTTGGCAGATGAAGCCACAGACATACAGCTCTGACGCCCTCATGCCAATTCCTATGTCCGAAATGTCACCTGTTGAGCATACGGCGTGACGTGACACCTTACCTGGCGGCTTACTCGGCGTCGTTCGTCGAGCGAGGTGTACACGCTTAACCTTCACGACTATGTTCTCTGTCGCGGGGCAAAAGATGCGTGAGTGGATGAGACCAGGATTCTGGATTTGAACATGCTAGAGCGAGAAGCACGGCCTAACAAATACTTACGCCCACCTTCTTGGTCGTGCAACCAGGATGTGAATCTGCCTGTACACTATGGACCTCGTCACCTGCGTTGATGATATGATGGATAAGGGAGAAGACCTGGTGCACAAGCTATCGTTTACATCTCTCAATTTAGCGGTGGAGTTCGTACTTGAATTATTTTATCTATTAAATATCCATATTATCGAAGCGGCAGCACAAATGCGATGAAGTGCGCAGATACTGCCAGGGGAACGTTCAGGGAACAATCACTGAACGAACATGAGAAGCTCGAGTGAAAATCTCCTGCAGAGCAGCTTTCACATTGTCCATGTTCCTCATATCAACTTCATCGACCTCCTTCGGCCCCTCTAGCAGCCCACTATCGATTTTCTTCGCGAGATCGTCTAGTACCCTCCTTGACCTCCAACGGGCCCAGGATACTCGACTTCATGCCCTTTAACGTAAGGGCCTTTGCATAAAATGTTCGCAGGTTGACGGGGAATAGTCCGTCCTTTGCATGCACAGCCATGACCACGACACGACCGGTGCCGTTTGGTGTCATCGTGACAATCGCGTCATTGAATGGCTGGTCATAGCTGGCGCAGTCTAGCAAAACGTCAATTTTGTTCTGCACTCCGGCCTCGCGGATGGCGTTTTTAGAGCCCAATTCGATGGGCGTGACATATGATGGGGGAATCAGTTTGGCGAGCGAGGTGTACGTGCCGAATATGCGTGCCCCGCGCTCTTTGCAGAGCTGTGTTGCTGCGGAGCCAATGCCGCCTCGAGCACCTAGAGGACTGGGGTTAAGGATGATAAATGCAGTAGGTCAAGTGATGTGTACCAATGATAATAACATTGTCTCCCTCCTTCACGTTCGCAAGAGTGTCAACTGTAATCCAGGCACATAACCATGGCAGGGTCATGTTACCAGCCCTAGAGTGGTTGAGAGATGCCGGCTTCCGGCTCAATGCGGTGATAGGGACAGTGACGTATCTGAAGAGACGTCCATCTGGAAAACAAGAGACGAACGCATGTAAAATACGTACTGAGAAAATGTTCCATCCGAAGTGAAGCCCCTCTCGCTTACTGTTCCCCAGACCTCTGCTCCGATCCACTCTTGACTTGAGGCGCCAGATGCGTCGAGCGCTTCGACGACTTCCCCAGAGAAATCTCTGCCAGGAACGCGCGGCGCGGTCACAAATGGAAGCATGCCTATGATAGCTGCAGCATCGGACTAATGAGAGGTCAGAATACTACTGAAGCGTGGTATGACCCAAGTTGTAGGCTTACCCCGTTGATGCCGGCAGCTCTGACGCGTACGAGAGCCTCACCGGGACATAACATGGGTTTGTCGATGTTAACCAGAGACAACTTGTCGAAGGACCCAGTCTTCTGGAACTTAAGAGCTTGCATGGCGATTTGACGACTAGACTCGGAAAGACGTAGATGTTGAACAATAAATTATTAAATCAGTATAGGCAAACCGCGACAAACTCACTGGAGGCAATAGCAAATTCGCCTTGTTCCGGAAGACACAGGGGGATTAATAAGATGCAGGATCATGCAGCTTGCAGTGAACGTTTGAACCATTGTAATTGAATCTACATCAAATCAAGACCGTTAGTCAACTGATTAGGCATAGATCATCTGATTGAATCGACCCATTGGTGTCAGATAGCCATCTAGATCAGAAAAGGTTCACGGAAGATGTTTACCATGTGTTAACGAGGTAAAGCCGAGCTAGATACAGTCTGAGTGGTATTGAGTGATCTTGATCTTTTGTGACAGACTAGCGGAAATTGCAAGAGTAAACTGTGACTTCAAGGTCACCGTCCACTGAGTTCCTGGACACTCGGACGTGCACGGTAATGAAGAGGCCGACTCCGAACACGCGAAAAAAGCAGCGGAAGGTCGTCACATATAAAATTAAAAAAAGTGATCTTGATATTGAAACGGATACCGAATCCCAATCGGAGAACGTTCTTGATATTAATCGGAAAACATATGGGAACGTTGAAGATGTACCGCGTGGAGGGGCACAAATGCAGTGAATAGCTTGTGGAGCGGATCAAGTTGAACCGAGAGAGATACTAGCAAGGCTTGACGCCGAGAGTGTACACATGCTTACTAAGCTTGTTGACGCTTAAACCTGTGTAAGTGACACATGATCAATTTCATACAGAACTCCTCAATTTATGCAAGTACAACAAGAACATCCCGAAAATGATGTCGGAAATGAGCTACCAACATCACCAACGAGTGGAAGTTTCCTAATGGTGCATTCGTGTCCGTGATACTGGCTTGCAAATAAAAATTTAATCTAGGACTTCCACGTTTGCTTGATCTCGCATCGCAATACTTACTTCAACCAATCAAGGGTATTGAGGCAGGAACAAATATCCATTACCATCATACCAATTTCAGCGGTGCAAGCGCTGAACGGTTGTATATCTAGCACGGACACTAGGTCGTTATAACCCTCAACATCCCCCACTCGCTCACTCGAATATGACCCTAGTCTCAAATGATCCCAATTGGTGGCCAATAATCAATTCGAATATCATGACAAGCTATTTGATAGGTTGGTCTTATCAGTCAGTGATGTCTCGATCTAACATTGGCTTGCGGTTTCGCAGTTGCTGCCGGTGTCGTGGTGGTATTCGACTGGGGTGAGCAGGACAGTGTTCGAAAACTGTTGATTCTCATGATATTTCCAGTCCTAACACTCGGACAAGAGGTATGTCGGTGCTATCTCTGGAGCACCCAACTTGCTAAGAATGGTGTCATAGATTGAACTGATCTGGGTGAGTGACAGAGTCGCACATCAGAAGAAAAACAGGGATATATAATGAATTCGCGACAGAGGCAACGGTGGTCTTTCATGACTGTGCTGTATCTCGCTGTTCGTGCTACCTCAGTCATGTTATGCTATAGCGCTGTGCTGACTCGAAAATGTTCTAGATACGCTATATTGGAATACTATTTTCCGTGTATGTTTTTGAGACTAACAAGTTGGTGCTATACTAATAGCTCATCTCTGACAATTAGTGTCAGTGTTCTGGGTAAGTCTCATGCGCTGTATTCAATTCTTCTGAACCGGCAGCATACAGATTCTATGCCATTGGTCTCGCTGACGGATGCAGTGAGTATTCTGCAACTATCTCATTCCCATCTACTGAATGCACTCATATGTAGGGGTGAGTGAGATTCTGAATGTTGAATGTGGCTCAAAATAATGACTCAATAGGTGTGAGTCGGAGTGTTTGATCCTAGTACGAGGTGATTACTAATTGGGTGTTTCAGGCAATATTTTGGACTACGCAATGAATGGGATAAATATGGTCGTAGCTGCCATGCTGGGCGGTGAGCTGCAATATCTCAGCGATATTGACTCGACTGAAATATGATGCAAGTCATCATGATTGCTCGGTTATATGCTATGTATCAGAGATCAAGAAACATGCTTATATTCCTTGTTATTATCTTCCTGGCTGTTAACATCGCCTGCGGAGTACTCGCAGTAATGACACTCAAGGATAGTGCAGGGGGTAAGCTTTACTTGTTGACTTCCGTGACCGGCGACGATTCGGCCCATCGACAGGATCGACCATCGGGGACTGTTTCAGAGTGCTGATAAAATCTCACGTGCTTTATTTTGCAAGGTGAGCTTGTAATGTAAATGTACTTATCTGTTTCTGCTCAAGTTCCGCACGTGCTAGCTTTGTTTGTGTCTCTTGCCTTCAGTTAGTCGGTGATCTCTCTCCGGGGCTCACGGTGCGCCGACCTATTGCTGACATCTGCTTGTAACTACTCCTCATCATTTCTGCAGAGTTCATATTTTGTGGGGGTTGAGACATTCTATGGTGTCCTTCAAATTATATTTAGCGTGCAGATGTTCGTGCTGGGACCGCGCCTCATCTTTAGCATTCGAGAATATCATGCAAAACTCGTGGCCAACTCCGACGCAGACATTAGCATGACTTCGATTGTCTTCCAGGAGCGTGTACATGTACCAACTAGCAGTGTTGTGTAGAGAAATGCTTGCCGAGCGTTCTGCGTGGAGGAGAGAATGGTCCGTCGTAGTATTTATTTTAGTTATGGTGTTTCAAAGTATATTTAAGACGAGGTTTACGTAGATAAACCCATTTCTTATTGTATCACTACTGGAAGTCAGCGAACCGCCCGCTCACACTTGTACCCAGTGGAGCTCACCTAGCTCATCCCCCCTCCGACACGTCACGTGACTTCCCGCCGGCATCCAAAACAGGCTATGACGGTTTATTTTCTCGTACTCTCAAGTCTCTCCGAGTTGAAGACAATGTTTATTAAGTATAGTATGAAACAATAGTAATGAATAAAAAGATATACTGTACTTGCTAGAGGGATTAAACTGTCATTAGAGTGATTGTTAATGTGGTCACTGAGACGATGAACGAGCACGATAAAACATAGCGCTAGCGGTCCCTTTTTCCCAGGTCGTTGGGCTCCGCGATCGAGACGAATTTTCTCGTCGTTCACGACTGAGACAATTATCTGCCAGACAGAGGAATAAACAAGCCATTGCGTTCGAGAACAGTAAGCATTCGATAATCATTAAATTGAATCTGATACTCAAGGCCGTCACAGAAATCGCGGATGTTCTTGACATGTGTGAGCATGCATTCCTGGAATGTCCTGGTGTCAAGCTGTTGACAGAACGTATTCACAGGGTCATCTTCCACACCATCGCCGGTCTCGTCACTTCCCCCTTGTTCACTGGTTCCAGTAGTACAGGAACAGGCATTGTGGCAGTGGCGACTGGCGGCAGACAGGAATCGAGCGGGACAAGCAATGGATGTGTCCAAAATGGTATTGTGCGGTTCCGTTGCACCTCGAGGAAAAAGGTAGGCGTTACAGGGTGTACACTTTGTACTAGATGCTTGCAAATGAGAAACCGAGTTTTAACAAAATTCGGGCAGGTGCAGACCCAACGATGGGGATCCGGACGATATTTGGGGTTGAGTGGCGCTGTGATTGGGGTATTGACTGCGTGCCTGTAGTTCGGGTGATAAATCTGAGTCCATGGTATGTGCTTGTAGTAGAGTACAGCTATGTATGGTACAAGAGGACCCATGAGAACCCCCATGGAACCCAGGCTGGCGTCCGGACAAAAATTGACCCAAATGACCGTTTCACCCAGGTTACAGTCCGGACACAAAACGTCTAATTTGGGTGTCAACCCAGGTGAACGTCCGGACATCTGCGAGGGGGGTGGTGGTATGCCAGGTCGAAGTCCGGACAAATATGGTAGGGTGGTGTGGCGGAACGACACAGTCGATAATGTTGAACGCGAAAGTTCGAATCTTGCTTTTTACAGCTTCCATTGGACGCTTGAAGTTCGAATGAGCAAGTCGACTACTATATGTGATGCCCACAAAAGTGCAACTGGCGCAAACCAACATCTTTTTTCTTTCATTGGTACAGTTCTCCTGTCTCACGTCTAGTTATGAACGAGCTCGATCTCGTTTGTCCCCCTCCGTTCCCTCAAAGTCGATGACTTTGCGATTGTATACACGGAGTGGGGCCTTCGCATCAGCCAAGGTGAGTTTGTGCTATCATGTCATTGTAATCGCTGACACAGTCTCAGTGATTGCAATATACCCGAAAGGTGGCGGTAAAAACGGCAAACACGCTGCTGTTGACAAAGCAGACGCTATCGCTGGTGTCTCGTACCTTGGCGTCCAAATCTACCAGCAACATTCTCATCGTCATTTTCGTTCCATTCCTGATGCAACCGCCATGTTCCAATGCAGCCACTTTGCCTTCCTTCCTTCTACTGCCTTTCTCTGTCTACTTTCATCTAAGCCCAACCTAACGCGCTCGGGACTCGAACTTGCACCTGCAGACCTCACAGACTTCGATATCCTATCAACTGCTTTGCCTCAGTTGGCGGAAGCGGCCAAATCGTTCCGCAAGAGGACTTCGAGGAACGGGGCCACACAGAGGGATGAAGAAGGCGATTTTTGATTGTTTTTTGCTTCTCGTGGCTATTCTAAACACACCTAGCTACTTAGAATAAGAAAAAACGCATTTTTGAGATTTTTGGTAACCTGGGTCAGAGTCCGGACAAAATTCAGCCCTCAGGTGAACCCAGGACGGCATCCGGACAAAAATCCCCAAAACGTGTCCGGACAAGTTTGGGCCTCAGCCGACCTGGGTTCTAAAGGGGTTCTCATGGGTCCTGGTACAAGTAACTTGTCTCTGAGGGGATCACATTCCTTTTTGGGTGCCGGCGGGAGGTCACGTGATATGTCGGAGGGGGGATGAGCTGGGAGAGCTGTCGTTGTTTCAGAGGCTGAGCGAGATTTTATATGAACAAAAGGTGCATTTGACCTGTCGTAGAAGCGATTCAATATTTTGAGGTATTTAAGTTTACTTGAACATGTTTTGCTGATAGCTTGCCGAGGTGTTTGGTCTTACTGAGCTTCTATCAAACAAATGTGTCACGTACGGCTTGACGTTCCGAAAGCAGTGATTCGACACGGCTTTTAATTTGGGGAACGTTTTTGATCGCATCGACCACTTGAACGTTCATGAACGTGCCTGTTAAACCTCCGGGTTGTTTACGAAAGGAAGGGTGTGTACAAACTCACGACTCCAATTGTCTGTGTTTACTGACTTCAGGCAGTACAACGCTCCAGAATTCGTGGATAATTGGAATTTATGCGTTCTGATAGATCAGAAGCTATGCAACATGAAGGAACTCGTGTGTGAAACACGTTTGTTTACCTGTCATTCTGTCGAACAGAGTGGAAATCGGTTGACTGATGCGGGCGTACTGTCTGCACTGCGACCGTATCTCGCTTACAACTTGACAGCTTAGCGTCAAAGTCATGACTCCCATCACACCTGGAGC